ATATATATATATATTTGACAAGGGACTTCGCTGCCTTTTCTAACGGACCCCTTGAAATGTTTTTGAAATGTTTTGGGCTTTTTTTCCTATAGAAATATTTTCCCACAATGCATGATGAATGTTTCTCTCTCTCTCTCTCTCCCTCTCTGTATTCATCCCCTCCGGCCCGCTCTGTCTCTCCCTCGGTCTCCGCCCTGACCTTGCATGCGCTCGGCGGTTGACCCCGAGCAGACAAGATGGCTGCCGTGCCCAAAGCTCCTAAGGAGGACGCACGAACCGGAAGGAGACCGCAAGGTACCCGTGACGTCACGGCCCACACGATAACCCACCCCCCTCCCCCCTGCACCCGCGTGCTGTGTCCAATGTGTCCATAGACTTGTAGTATATAGCCTAGACTGCGCGCTCTGACGTAATTCTGGCACTCCAAAGAGGGAACCATTATTTTGCTTCTATTCGGAACCAAGTGGTCACAATTAAGGACAAGCTTGCTAACCCAGATTTCGGGGGTTTCCAGAAATCTTTACATCCACCAAAAGTGGGCATTGCCCTACCTGTAGGAGAAGTTTGGTTTCATTGGTGTGTATATTTGTTTGGTTACAGAGAAAACTCTCATAGTCTTTTAAAGAAACCGAAAAAGGGTCCAGAACGGGATAGCCCCCTTGTGCTTAAAACCGACCAAATGACAGGCAAATAAGGAAGGTTTGCGCGTGCACTCGACTCTAGCGAGAGTGGAGTAATTCCTTTCATCCACGCAACATGGTGTGCACTCCAGTGTACCGACAGTTTTGTCAAGAACAGAGTGTGGCTGCCATAACAGTGCTCAGTCTAGGATAATATTATAACTCAAGTCTATGGACGTGCCTGATTTTTTAACAGTATTTTTCCAAGTCAAGCAACTATGTTTTCATATTTGATGTATGCGCACCATTATTTCCTTTGATACATTTTCGTGGCGTAGAGTGCAATTTTGTCCTTTCGTTTCATTTCTTCACCTCACAAGTGTGATTTGTACCGTGCCTGATGGTGCAGACTTGACTGGCGTTGAATCCCGTCATGTTTCACTTATTTTTTTTTAAGTTTGTTTTTTTTCTTTTTCTTTCGGCATGTCTACTTGGAGTTTCCTCACCCACTGACTTTGCTATGTTTTCATCGTTGACACTTTCATTTCCTCCGATCGTCCAGGTCTTTTGGGGACCATCTTTATCTAAGCATTTTCACACTCGCTATTTGAAATTTGAGTTTTAGTTCATCACACGGCTACACCAACTTGCAGAGTTCTATATAATAATATAAAATTCCAAATCTGGATTGGACCTGCAAAAAAAAAACAAAAAAAAAAGAAATGTACCTTCACTTTGAGCGTGGTGTGTTGATGACTGTGTAAGTCGTTACCTGTGTCTTTACCCGGGTCTTTACCTGTGTCTTTACCTGTGTCTTTACCTGGGTCTTTACCTGGGTCTTTACCTGGGTCTTTACCTGGGTCTTTACCTGTGTCTTTACCTGGGTCTTTACCTGGGTCCCTACCAGACACCGAACTTCTCACCTGGCCAAATGTCCAGAGTGTGTTTTCTAAGCTCACTAGGACTCTACTTTGCCTGGCCAGCCATGTCGGAAGAACGCCTGATTTCAAAATCCCAAAGACAGTGTTTTATTTTTCTAATTACATAATATTATATAAGATAGATAGCAGCGGTTCAGGAAAGAGGCGTTTGTTCCTATAACCGACCTCGGACCCTCGAGGAAGTATTTTCCACACCAAATAGAGATTTTATAGAAGACCTAGGTTCCCTCGAGGAATTATTTCCCACACCAAATAGAGATGTTTAGAAGTGTGTTTTAAATCAGAATTGAATACTCGCAAAGGAAAACGAAGAGTTTTAGAAATTAGTAATGATACCCACTCGTCCTCAATAGCATTGTACTATGAAGTGATCACCTTGAGGATAGTAAACACTCTTAAGGATTCAATAGTAACCCTTACGTTGTGCGCAAAGTAATCTTTTATTTCTTCGTTGTAATACTGTGACCGTCAACGGATTTTGTTATATATAATATTTTCCGTATCTTTTGTTGGAACGTTGATTTTTTTTTTCATTTGTGTGATCAAAGCGTAATATCTTGATTTCAATTATTTCAATTTTCACTTTATTTTTGTACATAATCAAGTCACTGCAAATTCTAAACCATTAAACATATTATTTTGTCACGATTCTCTAACCAAAATAACTCTGTTGTTGAAATGTTCTCACCAAATAGTACCAATATTATATGTGTGTTCGGGCACCACCTATGTTCATATTAATGTTAATCTACAGAAAGAAAATAGATAAATTGTCTAAGCATTTGTTTGTATGATTATTTTAAAAACTACTAAAAAATTTTATAAAGTAAAAATAAACTTCTTTCAATGATGAAAAAGTAAACTAAGCGTTAATATTCGTCACAGTCCTGCTCCAAAAAGATGCTAAAATTATTGTCCTATTTTTGTACCAAGTTGAAGGAGCGGGTTCGATGTTAATTTGACAATGGACATGTCTGTTATGAGGAAACATGTCTGTAATGAGGAAACATGTCTGTAATGAGGAAACATGTCTGTAATGAGGAAACATGTCTGTTACGATGAAAGATGTCTGTAATTAGTGTTGATAAAGCAAACACACTCTCATAAAATGTATGGATGGAAAGACTTGATAAATATAATCATATTTTGTTTTCGTGTGAGCAGCTGATATAATTTCCATTATTTCTGATATATTCTTAGAACAAATTCGAGTACAATGTATTGAGTATAATAGGTCAGAGTCTGTCCTAGTCTGAAATGAAACATGTTGCTCAAAGCCCAAATTAGGTCATGGTGGGCCCTGTTCTTTCAACGTGTCCGATTCTCGAGAACCAAAGATAAAATGAGAACAACTTTTACGAAAACTAAGAGGGCGTAGCGTATTGTTCTTCCAAACATTCCATTCAATTAAAATGTTCTTTTCCCAAAAGTTCTCTCTTCAGCTGTATAATAAGTCGTTTCCAAGAGTTACCCATCCATTTCCCCATTGTATATTGTTTAGACTCTCATCATGTTTAAAGTTCTCAAGACACTCATCCAGCATTCACAAGTCCAGAATCCAAACAAAAAAGACCTTAGTAGTTAGTTCTTTTAGGTCTAAATTTGCACAGGTCTTTGCAGCATTTGTTTAGAATACTATGTGTTATATCTTTCAACTATAACTTTGCCAGCTGAAGATTGTCAAAAAGTTCTTTGCTTCAACACAAGATTGTCAAAAACTTTCTCTGCTTCAATACAAGATTGTCAAAAACTTTCTCTGCTGCAATACAAGATTGTCAAAAACGTTCTGTGCTTCAATACAAGATTGTCAAAAACTTTCTCTGCTTCAATTCACGTTTCTACCGAGGCTGATCGCTGTTTACCCACCTTCCTCTCCCCAGCTCCTTTCTTCATCAAACATTTACCAAAGACCATCGACGTGATGGCTGGCATTGACGTGAGGCTGGACTGTATCTTACGTCGTGGCATCGAGCTGGTCCGTTGGTCTTCCTCTCCAACGCCGCCCGAGGAGGCCGAGAAGGCTCGCAAAGAGCTGGCTGACGAAGGCTTTGAGGGGGAGTTCATTCCTACCCGACCCTCCCCGCCCAGAGAGGAGACAGCTCCAACGGGTGAGTGTACGGGTGGGGGGATGACGGAGGGGGGAGAGGGGGGTAGTGGCTGTAGATA